ATTGTCACTTTTGTATATTTTTGATAAGTTTCTTCGTCCTCAACCTTATTTCATGTTTTGTATATTTTTGATAAGTTTCTTCGTCCTCAACCTTATTTCATGTTTTGTATATTTTTGATAAGTTTCTTCGTTCTCAACCTTACTTCATGTTTTGTATATTTTTGATAAGTTTCTTCGTCCTCAACCTTACTTCATGTTTTGTATATTTTTGATAAGTTTCTTCGTCCTCAACCTTACTTCATGTTTTGTATATTTTTGATAAGTTTCTTCGTCCTCAACCTTACTTCATGTTTTGTATATTTTTGATAAGTTTCTTCGTCCTCAGCCTTATTTCATGTTTTGTATATTTTTGATAAGTTTCTTCGTTCTCAACCTCTGTCCGTATTTTACTGACACCGCCTCCTTCAACAACTTTGTAATTGCACGTCATCTTTATTTTTACACACAATACAATTTGACCTTGAGAAAATGTTTAATACTTTAGTTACAGTATTACTTAAGAGTGTGTACTGTCTACCTTAAGTGAAAATTACATAATCAAACCCCCTGATCTGTTTACAAAAAAGGTTTTTCAAACAAGTTTTTCCTATTTAGACTTAAGACTTTTATTACTTCAATTAAAAGAATCCGGTTGTTCATGATAAACAAGAATTGCATATAAAATCAATGAAATTAAAACTTTATATCGAGAAAATGGTCAAACACTGTACACAAACAAGCACAATATTATTTGAAAAAGTCTGACACTAAAACTGTATCGTTTTTGCGAGACGTGTTACCACGTAACAAACTACTTGTGAATAATGTAAAGCTAAAAATGCCAGCATGGTGGGACTTACATGTATAATTTAATTAAAATATCCAACTGTTGGCACATTCCACAAACACACAACACTTGAGATGCCTTTTAACAACAATTATTAACATCGAGAACTTCCTAATTTTCACATTTCTGGGAGTAAGTGAAGGCTATAATGGCTAAAATATTCTTTAATATATAATTCTTTAAAGAACACACAGTGAATAAATACAAGCAAAATCTATAACTATTCCTTTCATTTCATGATGAATTTTCAAATATTACACGGTCGTCAAAAGGTAACTTTTACTGGCCTTTACCTAATTTGTCAGTAAAGTATGTAAAATCCTTGTGATATTACACAAGTGAAACTTTTTATTAGGTTAATAAATATTAATTTTATTTTTTCATGAGTTCGACTTGTATTTGAAGATAGATATTACTAACTTCAAAGTTTGTAATAACTGCTCCTATATTAAAAATTTCTAATAACTTAGAATATGGACATTTTGAGATTTTTTACTTTTCTTGATTCAGAAATATCACGTGTGAAAAGATAATTATACTACAATCTTGATCTGTAGGTAGTAATCATTCTAATCTTTCCCTACCCAGATTTGTACCTATCGTAATATTGCTGATACAGAGTCTGACTTCCACACACCAACAGAAACACTTGCAGCAAAAACTAAGCCAACAATTTCCACGTACACATTAAATGACTAGCTCTAATTTGTACTAACAACAACAAAAAGCTAGGAAACAGGATGAGGACAACAATTCAGGGAAGAAGACCTTGAGCAGTCAATGAATCTTTCAGACTGTTAAAAAGCTGCAGCTGTTCTTCTGGCTTCAAGTTGTATAACTGATGGATCAGTTTTTGTGGATTTGGAGCCCTGGGATAAATGCATCATATTAGCCACCAATAGCTTATAAAAACAAACATAAAATATATCAAGTAGAATGCTTATGTACATAGAAACTCTGAGCACGACACACCGTTCCATGATGTTCTGAAGAGATGTAAACATGAACTTACCTGATAAAACTGTGAATGTAAACATTCACAAATGTAGCCATCAAGAATTGGCAATCAAACCTATCCATTATTCCTCCGTGACCAGGAATGATGTCTCCAAAGTCCTAGAAAGTTACAAAGAACACAAACATATATGTTTACTATTGAAACCGTTCTGTTTTCAAATTAAAAAAACACTGTTACTCGTGACATACATCATCTTAATGTTCTACGGATTCATTACAATAAGTCACCACATCAAGGTATGTTTTTAATGTACATCATCTTAATGTTCTATGGATTCATTACAATAAGTCACCACATCAAGGCATGTTTTTTACGTACATCATCTTAATGTTTTACGATTCATTACAATAAGTCACCACATCAAGGTATGTTTTTTACGTACATCATCTTAATGTTTTACGGATTCATTACAATAAGTCAACACATCAAGGTATGTTTTTAAAGTACATCATCTTAATGTTTTACGGATTCATTACAATAAGTCATCACGTCAAGGTATGTTTTTAACGTACATCATAATGTCTTACGGATTCATTACAATAAGTCACCACATCAAGGTATGTTTTTAAAGTACATCATCTTAATGTTTTACGGATTCATTACAATAAGTCATCACGTCAAGGTATGTTTTTAACGTACATCATAATGTTTTACGGATTCATTACAATAAGTCAACACATCAAGGTATGTTTTTTACGTACATCATAATGTTCTACGGATTCATTACAATAAGTCACCACATCAAGGTATGTTTTTTACGTACATCATCTTAATGTTTTACGGATTCATTACAATAAGTCAACACATCAAGGTATGTTTTTTACGTACATCATCTTAATGTTCTATGGATTCATTACAATAAGTCACCACATCAAGGTATGTTTTTTACGTACATCATCTTAATGTTCTATGGATTCATTACAATAAGTCACCACATCAAGGTATGTTCTTTACGTACATCATCTTAATGTTCTACGGATTCATTACAATAAGTCAACACATCAAGGTATGTTTTTTACGTACATCATCTTAATATGTTTTAAGGATTCATTACAATAAGTCACCACATCAAAGTATGTTTTTTACGTACATCATCTTAATATGTTCTAAGGATTCATTACAATAAGTCATGACATCAAGGTATGTTTTTTAACTGATGACACGTCTCTCATAAAAACAAAACAATCATTAATAACAGAATCCAGTATTAAAAGGAAAATGTATGTAAGTACTAAATTTGAATCCAGAGAAGAAAACTAGCAAGAGTCTATCTTTTTACTTTAATATACCAGGTTTGGACAATACACTTTTTGTCAAAAAACACGCACACAATCTAGGAGCAAATTTCACTGAAATGAAACATATTGGTTTCTCTACAGTAACCATAACTTTTAAATAAGTTTGTTTTTAAATTGTCCTATCCCAGCAGGCAATGTACATTCTATTGATAAAGTAAATATACATCGATCACTGAGAGATAACATTTTACGTCTTTCATTATGTCCAAATGATCTCGAACGTAACAGTACAGGGTCACATAAATAATTAGTGGATAACTTACGATACAATTACATCAGTTGAAACATTCGTTAATAGCTTTCATTTCTTCTCTTTCTACGTTATGCGAGCACAGAGACTGAAGCTTTTCACCTAATCATGAGATACCATTTGTTCTTGTATCAACACTGTTAGCTGGACACCAAAAACTACTACTCCTCCATGTATATATGTTATTTCATTATTTGAAATAATTTGTCTATCTGTCCATCTCTTTTTTGAAAAAAATGTAAGTTAAACGGGAAATGGTTAAAAAATACTTCAACATAATGTGAACTTACACTGGTCAAAGTTACTTGGCTTTATATCTAAAGCTCAATAAACAACCAAGTTCCATACCTTGACTTTAAAAGCTCTCTTAAAACCACTAGCAAAAAAGCCTCCAAATGGTCCAATGATAGAGCTGAAGAGAGAGAGGGCCAGGGAATGGAGCACAAATGGGTACAAAGTGATTGTCTTCGGCAGCCCCAACTTTAAAGAAAAGAGAGAGTTCATTCAAATCTATACATCTGGTTTGCTGTAAAATACCTGATCATCTTATAAGTTTACGGTAGAAATATCTTACAACTATGAAGACTTTTTCTTCAACACTAGATATAATACACGCATCCTAAAATCCAGTTATATACATAACATTGCTATCTTTTATGTTGACAAAATATACGATTCACATAATTTAATACATGGACATACAACAGACAGTACTATTATATTTATATAGAAGTAGTTACATGGACATACAACAGACAGTAC